GCCTCATTTCTGTTATACCAGGTGTTCCCTGGATGTGTTCTCAGACATATTTTAACAAAGTGTTCTCAGTGTGGGTTCTGTAAAACTCGTACCAGCAATTTTACTACAGTATTCTCATTACAAAGGATATCCTGTTTCATAATAATATATTGTATTCATTTTGAAGATGTCTTCACGTCTTACAAGAAGCCGTTTTAAAAAGGTGGCTGATGCTGTTAGTTGGTACTTTGTTTTCCTTGTAAAGTCAGCATGGTATAAAAAATTCAGTGCAAAAAAATGATTTTAAAAGATAGATTGTGCCTTGATGGTACCTTGTTATTTAGTTAATGTATGCCTTCTGTGATATGGAACCTGCAGTATATGCTATTTGTGTCCCAGAAAATATTCAAAAATAATTGCTGACAAAAGCCACTTCGCAGGTTGACTCAGAGGTACATCTTGTAATCTGAATGTTAATATTCTGGATAGCTAGGCAGAGAAAACTATTGATGTAGTTTGAAGATCATGTAGAGACTAGTCAGGATTTTAGTGGGGATGGAGAGAGATTGAGATACTTTAGTTCTCGCAGCTTCACTGAAATTTTACGCTTATTGAGTGTATGAATGCATACAACATTTTTGCTAGTCAGTTGGAAATGTTGCCTTATATTTCAAGAATTTATGTCTTTTCCAGAAGCAATTTAGAATCACCTTAATTTTACTCTAGAATCCAGGCAACCCCTGGTTTTACTATGCAATCCTTGACTATCTGTCATCTGCTTTATTTTTCCCCTCAAGCTTAGGTTATGAAGAAGCACTGATGAAAAACAGAGGCCTGATTCTTACCTCCCTTACATGTGGTCTGTTCCGTGTGATCCATGCAGAGGCAGTAGGAGCAGCTACCACTGAGATCCAAGTTTTTCCAGCTCAAATTAGCATGTAGATCTTGGCTTCCAGTGTTAATGGACCCAGTCAGGACCTCTGTATTTCCAAAAAAGAGCTCATCATCTTATTGTGCTTGAAGCTGTTTTGGGAGGCAGAGAAGTGCTGAGAATATTGTAAAGCAAAATAATGTTCTATTTTCTCAAAACTTGAACATGCCGTTATGTTTTTTTATACCCAGGAGTTGTGCATTTTATTCCTCCCTTGTCCACCTGCAAAAATACTGCTTCTGTGGCCTGATTTGTTATCATAAACTATTGTGTCATAACTGAAGAAAAACAGTGTTCTTACCTCTCTGGGTACATAGTCACATAACCCAGACTGTACACTGGAAAGTATTTTTGCCATCAGGCGCATTGGCCAGACTAGCAAACTCCACGGGCATCTGTATCAGCTGCCTTGGAATTGCTTTTGATGTGATTAGGCTACTAATTAGCTGTCTCAATTCTTCTCTCCCTCCTGATGTTTTCTTTTGATTCACTTTGACTCAGAGGAGTCAGTGTTCAGTGTATGTTTGGTTAGTGTTTTGTCTAAAATCCCTAATGATAGCTTAGACTGTCCTCTTTTGGTTGAGAGTTTCCCTGTGTTGACATACATTTTTCTGTTAAATGCGTGCATCAGGATTTTTCTCTTAAGAATAGTTGGTACTTTGCAAGGTGTAAACAATATATGGTCAGGGTGCATATATACATGAATATTAGCTTAAACTGTGCTAAGGGGTTTACAGTTTGAAAGGGAATGCTCATAGTTACTTCAAAACCATCAAAACCATAATAAATGTTTACTACTCAAATTCACCAAATAGTAACCTTGCAATTAACTTATTATGCAAAGTCAGTTAAATAACAGCACAAGTTATTGTATTAAGGCCCACTTCAAAAGGAAGCCAATGACAAGCAGTGAAACATGCTAATAGATTATATGCTATAGCAATATATTGCCTTTTTATTGCTTTTCCACAGGCAGCAGATTCATGTACAGTTATTACTACCTACATTATCTGTTAGTTTTCTATCAAAAAAGATTCCGTCTATTGAATCATTAATCCAATATTTATCATTCTTATTGAAAATCCACTAGTGTTAGCCCTGTATAAAATATTGACTTAAATCTACTGGTTTTGCTAAAGATTAAAAACATATTAACCTGAAAAGCACAGTATTTCTTAGGACATTTTGAAACTGCTCATTGTGGATATTTGAAATGGCAATTTTGCTATGTTGTCTGAGGAATGATTTTTTCTTAAATCTTTAACATACAGTAAGTGACCAGTGCCATCCTAATTTGAAGATGCTGAGTGTTAATCCAACATATATTTGAAATTTTGATGTGTATTGCATTAGTTACTGAATATCAAGAATAAAATTTTTGCTCATACATAGAGTGTAAAATGGGATCTTTTGTAGCAGCACACAGCCTGTTTAGAATGATATAACAGGCACTGAATGTTCACATATCAAACAAAATGCCATCTTTCTGTAGAAAAGAGGTGTCAAAAAGTTTCTTTGTACCTTTAACGCATGTGATTATGTAGTACAAAATGCAGAGTTTGTAAAATTTCTTGAATATACAGGCAAAAAATGAATAATTCAAAACAACTCATAAGTTCTACATTCTATTGTATCTTTTATAACGCAGGCAGAAGATAGCATTGTGTTCCCAGTAGAGCTGAATTTGCACAAGTTACACCTCGGAAAATGCCAGATGGTCTATGGTCTACTTTTGAGAGCTGTCACATATGTAAAGATTTGAAAAAAGAAAGACAGCTGAATGAGAGCAGTGGATCATTAAAGAGAGAGTGAGAGTCCCTGGGTATCACTGTGTTTTAAGAAGATTTTTTTTCTCAATTTTCTTTTTTTTTTTTTTTTTTTTTTTTAGATATACACAACCTTTAAAAAATAAGGTAAAAATATTTCTGTTTTAAACTGAATGGTTGTGGCTTAATCTTGGAACTGTCAATTGCTTTTGTTCTTTATGCTAGAATGCGGTCATATGGTTCCTAATTGGTTTCAAGTGTGTTTTAACCATAAGATTCAAGTCTCCCTAGTGCAAAATTATCAATAAAGTTAAAATAAATTTAAATTGAGATAACTAATCCATTTGGGGTTTTAGTCCATTTTGATTTGACCTGCGTATCACATGTGAATACTGTAAAGCCAGTCAGCTAAAAAGTTGTATGTTAATGCTAAAAAGACTCAAGTAAGAGTACTTTGGGAACAGGATTTGTTAATAAAAAATTAAAATAAATTTAAAATTAATCAAAAAATAAAAAAGTAGAAAACTCCCCAAACTCTTGGTAAAAATAATAATTAAAGCAAAACCATATAACTGTTTAGATTTTCTAAGATTTGCTATTCACCCACGTTTTGACAGAAACACACCTAATTTTGAAGATTGAATTTTGGATAATTTGTCAAGGTATTGTATCTTAGGAAAGTCCCAAAAATATACAAAATTATAAACTGCCACTGCAAATTTAGCTGGCTTGGGAAAGGTCATAACTGTCACTTTTAGAAACTGGCATCCAGTCATAGACATTTTTTAGTATAGCAGACACAGAGAATTTTTAGTATAATCTATTCTTTTTTTTTATTGAGGAAAGTTAACCCATCCCCAGTTTATTGGTGCAACTGCACCACGCCACAGCTGGGAATCATAGGCAGTGCAGAGTGAGGAAACATCATTGCATGGAACATGAAAAACACTGTTCCTTAATTGTACAGTTTACATTTAAGTGGGATAGTGAAGATAAAGCTATGGAGTGTGATGGACATAAAGTCTGGGAGTAAAATTTTGATTTCTGATGTTGACAAAGGTATTTAACAGTGGTTAGGTTTACCTTGACTATTTTTAAAATGGAATTATAAGTTTTGATTTTTAACAAACTTCCCTTCCAACTCTGAATATTCTGTGATTCTGTAAATAGTTGAAGATTGGACTGTCTGAAAATCTCTTTATGTCCAAACATGATGCAGTAGTGTTTTGATTAGGAGAGGTGATTGGGATGGTACTTTCTGATTATGAAATCTTGTTGTGTTACTATGTGCATAGTTTAAATAGTTTTCAACTGAATTCTGCATTTTTTTTTAAATAAGAATTGTTCAATGGAAACCACATTTTTATTATTTTTGTTATTAAAAAAATCCTGCATATTTTATATTTTTTCAGTTACAGACTTCAAATATATAGGCAACCTGTTTTCCATGTTATTAAAAATCTGCTCCTTTATGATACAGTTGCTCAACACAGAGCAATGGTCAAGTTTCATGCCCTCTTATTAGAATCAGTTTATAACATGTACTCTCAGATTCTTAAACAGGTCACTACAGATTCCTGCCTTGACCGGTTTTGTATTTTTTTCCTTTGACCATTTCGGTTTTTTGCCATTTAGTTCCTAACTGGCCCATTACAGGCATTTATAAAACTGATTCTGAGTTGAGGAATATGGAGTGACAGACTCTGGCTTGCCACAGATGTGTGGTGTTTGAATGCATGTTCCTTCTGGCTACCTCCTCCACAAAACCAGATTTTATTTGGTTTTATACTTCCCAGCAATCCATGATCTTTATGAATTTAAGCTCAAAGTGGTGTTCATTACCTGGATACTCCTATTTTTCTCTAATGTAGTTATTTATAGTGGCTGAGTGTCAGGGGACTCCTACCAAGTCACTCAGATTATTTTCTGAAAGCTGGCAGGTTGGCCAGCCTGCAGCTTGACTTCTGTTACTGCAGTCTGTATGTTCACTCCTATACCTTTGACTTTCATTTGGTTGCATTTCCCCCATTATTGATTTGACTCCCTTAATTTAAGTTTATCTCAGTTTTGCTGCTTTCTTTCCCATTCTTGATTTTTTCCTTTCCTAAGCTGTGTTATTCTCTGCAGTACGCAGAGCCTTGCAAACCTTTCCTTGCAGTGCCACATGAAGAATCTAGACCTCATGCTGACGTGGTGTTTTTTGAATACCTAGTAAATATTTTTAATCTAGATATATTTTTCGCTTTCTTGTTTTGATGGGGGAATGTTAACTTGTCAGTCTATTCTTTGATCAATAATTAACCTTTGCTTTCCTTCATTTTAAGCACAACCTCAGCGTTTGCCTCAGCCAAATACTTCAGCACTGGAAAGGGGTGAGGAAGAAAGTGGAAAAATCAAAAATGGCCATGCAAGTCTGAGTAATGGAAGTGGAATTCGCAATGGTGTCAAGCACATACCTGCAGACAACAGAAAATTTTCGGCTCCTGTTTCAGAAAAAATGCACAAAAAAATTCAGTCTACCTTGTCTGTCAACAGCAACAGCAGCAAGAAGAGTAAAATAAGCTCTGTGTTTTCTCAAAAGCCAGGTACTTCACCAGAAGGTAAGATGATATCCTTATTAAAAAACCCAAATGGAATAAAAGCCAACCAAACCAGGGTCCCAGAGTTCCTGAGCCTCTCCTCAGTCTGCTCTCTTCTGATTAGCATTAATGTGCTCAATGGGTTTTGCTGGTGCCCGTTATGAGAATGGTACAGAGGCACTATAAATTTTATTGGTTTGAGGCAGGCATAGATGTGACTGGTTAAAAAAGAACCTCCAGAGGTTGGGTACAGACACAGATTCTTAGAGAAACAGGAGACGGTACTGTTGAGTGAAATGGGGAGGATTCTCAGCCTATGTGAAAGGCAGAGAAATTAGAAGGGACTGCATGTAGTGGCCTGAACGAAGCCTACTGATGTCAGTCAAGTGACTTCTCTGGACTTCAACTACTTCAGTCAGACTTACTCAGTGAATCTGTATAGTAATATCAAGAATGGCTTAATTCAGACTGTTCCATGAGGTGATCTCCTTGCTGTGGTTTGTTCTCATGTTTATCTTCACGAACCTGCTGTTACTTTTCTGCACATTCAGTGTTCTAGTCTTCCTTTGCAAAATCACAACTTTGTACTTCCCTTTCTGTTACGTGAAATCCACTTCACCCTCTTGCTTGACATTTTCCCTATATGTTTTTCTGTCATGCACTTTCAATAAACTGTAGCTTAACAGACCTAGACGTGTTCATGTGACTGGTACAAAGTACTGGCCTCTGAATTTAAGAAATTCAACCTCCAAAAAAAACCCTGCAGAGTTCTGAAGAGGCAGTGCCTGCCCTCTTCATTCCCCTATACAATTAATTTTGGTAAATATTTCCTTTTTTCTTCTAAATTGTGTTGTAATAAATACAGTTGGTGTGGTGTGGTTTTTTTAATAACTGTGACAATACTAGTGTCAAATTACTGAATATTTGAGGAGAAAATTCATAAGATACTTTCAGATTTGGCTTTAAAGTCTAATGTCTGATTTTAGTGTCCAACACATGATTGTGTTAGTCAACTGAAACTGCCAGTATAGAATATTTTTATATACAGTCAGAAATGTTGATATTTTAAAGGCATATCTGATTAGAATATAGACAATTGCACACTGGTGTCACACTGTATAACTCACATACATTCAAAGTGCAGAAATACAGGATAATTCTTACTGTCACATGTGATTTCTTGAATCACCTAATAGCTAAGTTAAATATAGTCAACATGGTACATCTAACCTGGTAAAGTTCTCAGTTTGAATATGGGAACTTGGATATATCCTCCAAATAGCCTGACATGTGCTGCTAATGTCTACAGCTCTAAGATTTCTCTTAACCAGTCTGACTGAAGCACAAGTTTTATCATGCAGTGATTAAAGTATGTCTAGTGTATTGGGATATGCCTCTAAGGGAATATTTGTTTTTAAAAATAATTTTCTGTTTTTGAAATTTGCTTTGCTTTACAGATCTCTGACAGACATGTTTTATATTTGTGTAAACACAGCTGCATGCACACATGTACAAGTCTTCTGACAGTTTCTTCAGCTTTTCAATAATGTATCCTGTGGGGATACATGGGGAAACTATAAGCTATAAGTAATATTCTTATCAAGCTGTTACCTTGCAGGAAGTATCAATATATACTTTATTTGTGCTATCATCCCTCAGTTTTTTTATAAGGTGCATAATCAGAGACTGGCAATCGTCAATTGAAATACATAAGTTAACACAAGCAAGAGTCTACTATTTAAGGAAAAAATTATTATCTGTAACTTAAAAATAATTGCATTATTACTTTGTCATGTTAACCCCTTATGATTACTTTCTGAAGACTGCACGTATGTATGTATGTATCTCTGTGTGTATGTGTATATATATATATTTAATGATGACTACATCTAACTATGCAAAGCCAGAAGAGTATACTAGTAAACTCA